TGTTTGTTTCCTTATTTCTATTTACATCATTACGAATAGTGTAATATATTCTTGTTTCTCTTCACATTGCAGATATCATCGAACGATAAAAGCATTCTGGAGTGTTGTGCACAGCTTGAATCAGAATCAGAAAAAGAAACTCTTAAATTTTATTACAGGAAGTGACAGAGTAGGTCACCACTTTTATTCATGAATATATCATCAATTCATTAAAACATATTTATCAAATCATAGTCAATCAATACATATTATATATATTCTTAATAATAAAAAATTGTTTAATAATAATGCTAATAACGATGTTAGACTTATATATTTTCATGAATGTATTTTCATGTATGTATTTTTGAGAGCAGTTAGCTCAGTCGGCTAAACTGGTGGTAGCCACTGTGGGTGCACTGAACCATGGAGATCCTTTGGTCCTCAGTTCAATTCTCAATGCTGCTCTGCTTGTATTTGCATCGAAATGCAAGTTACAATAGCGGACCGTCTTTTGGATGAGACATTTAAGCTGTTGGTCCTGTGTGCATTATGGCCCATGTGCATGTAAAAGAACGCTGTGTACTCTTCGGAAAAGAGTGAGAGATTGTCTCTGGTATACTGCCCCGCCCCAACCACCTCCAGAAGGACCCCACTGAAAATAAGCCTTCTTCAGACACTCCATATCCAAATTTTTAGATTTCATCATTTGACTTGGAGATTAGAGTTGACCACCAATGGTGTCTCGCTCTAATTTCCACTTGCCATTTTCATCTTTGTGTCGAATTGGTAATAATTGAATAAATAAAATGAAAATGGCACTCTCAGACCGAAATTTAATTATAATTTTCATTTTCATCTCCATTTTAAAATAATATTGAAAGCAGCTCAGCCACCCTTGAATGATTAGTCACTGCCCTCTTTAAATACGGTTTAAATAAACAAAATATTATTCTGTGTGAACACCAATGATAACACGTGTCTGAAGACTTATTTCCAGTAGGCTCTTTCTGGTGGTGATTGGGCAGTACACCAGGCAATAAGGAGCTTTTTGATTTGATTTGCACGATGACCTAAATCTAGAATGGAATCACTCATGCATGACCATCATGCATTCCCTGCACAATGTAGATTTGGGCCAAACTGTGTACTAGAATCGTAGCGACAATGACAACTCAACGTTTTCGCATACGCAGTTGACACTGTAGCGACGTCATTACATTGTAATTTGTAGGCCCTACAATCAATAGTTTGCTAAAACCCTAGTAATTTTCCCTTCTTTAACATGCATGTATTAAAGTCATATTGTATTCGGTACCAATGTCTAAACTTCTTTCTATATTTGCATATTATATTATTTTGAAAAATAACACAATTTGTTAAAACATCTATATTTGCCTTTTTCTTATCCAGGTACCAGTGAAAGGTTTATCCAGTCTGCCAATAGTCATCCAAAGACACGGACCAGATAGTGACCGTCTTCCAACTGCTATGACTTGCTTTAATCGTTTACTACTTCCATCGTATTCAAGCAAAGAAAAGTTGAGGAATCGCATTACAATAGCATTAGAAAATGGAAAAGGATTCGGCCTGACATAAGACTACATAATAAGTTAATACTTGTCAGTGGTGCATTTAAGAAAAATATGGTTAGTACCCTCAAAAGGTAGTATGGGTATATATCATGCATTCTTCGTAATATGGGTAGTTGGTGTCATGCTCACTGTGTTTGTTCTGCAGTGGGTTCAGTGGTGGCTCCAGGAATTTGCCGACATAGGGGTGCAAACCAAGGAGCCGACTAGTGCCTTGTTCAAGGTACCTGAACAAAATTCTTGATAGGGTCCAATGAGTTTTTTTTTTTTTTTTTATGGCCCATATTTGTACTTTAAACAATGTTAAGAATTCGCAACCAAAGTAACATATTATTTTCAGTGGCCAATTAATATTTTTTGTCAAAATATGTCGTCGTGGCAGTACTTATGGAACTATGGTAGGGGTATTTTCTATGTAATAGAAGCCTAGTTCTCACAAAAGCCCTAGTATTCGGATCAGGAGCTAACCGTTAGCGTTAACCGTTAGCACCTATGTGAGAACACCTGATCAGTTAGCGCTAACCGTTAGCGGTATCTGGATACTACTAACGGTTAGCAAGCGCTATCGGTTAGCAAGTTGAGCAAGTTTCTATCATCAATCAATGACACGTACGTGTTTACAATTTCTTGTTGGCCAGCGATTCGATCACCATATTTTTGGTATCTGGATCGGGATTTTCTCATATGGATGCACAGCAGCTAACGGTTAGCAGGATCCGAATCCTGCTAACCGTTAGCTGCAGTGTAAGAAGATAGCCATTAGTTTATAGGAATGTCCTCATTGTTAAAAACAGAAATATGTTTTCTGTGGATCTGCAACTTTATTAAATTTTAATTTATAATTTAATTGCTGCCTATTTTAATTATTTTCAAAAGGGGCGCCAAGAGTGCACGCCCCCATTTGTTGCTGCGAAGCAGCCAATTCATATTCTTGACAGCAATTTGACCTCTGAAAGGTCATTGTTTGTCAAAAATCAATCGCCTGAAACAACTGAAAAGCGGAGTTTCCTTCTTTCGTTCTGCCGGGTAAAATCAATTACTTTAGGCGACGTTTGTAGACTAACCTACTCGTACCAACGTCGGCATGTCGCGACGCTGGAGTACTATTCAGCGTTTTTACTATATTTCTAGGTTTCCTATTTCTACGTTTAATCGGCTCATGTCTCAGCCACAATATTTTGAGGACAATATCATTTACGAACCCAGTTAAACTTATTTACTAGCATATTTCAACATGCTAATTATTACATTTAGGCGACGCTTGTTGTAGACTGGCATAGTGTTTGCGGAAATAAATACCATTTTATACACATGCGCAGATCGATTCGCCAGCAGCAGCAAGCCATCACCAGCAGAGAAATGTCACTGCAGCAAAACACTATTGTACCAACGCTATTCTAATAATATATAGACAATGGGTCGTGCTCATATTATTTGTTATATTTTTATTATTCATTATTTTCACTTGACTCGCATAAATAATTTTGTTCGAAGAACATTTTATGCAGTTGTACTTCGCAGCACTTCACTTGCAATTTGCAATTTCTAGTACTAGTTATAATCTTTAGGGGCATTGAACTAAAAACACATCCCGCCAAACCACATCTAAGCATCATTTATAATGTGTATTCATAGATGTATTCATTTTACCTAATTAAATGCAAACTTGATTGGTTTTTGTTAATGTATTGAGTGCTATCATAATATATGCATTTTTAATATGCCTGTATTTTTATTTATATAATTATTTATATTTGTGGCTATGTTCTTCATATACAAACATATTTATTTTTGTATTCATGATTGCAATAAAGGTTGAAGTTGAAGTGATTGAAATTATCTCCATTAATTTGTATTTTAGATGACGGTTGAGGTGATGATAACATCAGTAATAATGATTATATATCAGTAATAATGATGATGACGATATACAGTAGTATAACAATCACTCGAAAAATATTGCAAAAAAAATACAGTTACAATTTAATTGTCACTTGAAACTGCAAAACTCAGAAAACTGCTGAAGGGGGACACCACAGCAAGAGCAACTCCTAGACAGCAGATATATCTTTTAGCAGGGCCAAGGTGGTGGGTGGTACATTAGCATTACCGCAGCAATTTTCCTTCAGCATATTTGGTTGGGGTTGGGGTTGGTTGGGGTTAGGGTTAGGGTTAAGGTTGGCTTTGGGGTTGGCTGTGGTTGAGGTTGGTGTTGGCTGCGGTTGTCGTTGGGGTTGGGGTTGGCTGAGTTGGGGTTGGGGTTGACTGCGGTTGGTGGTTGGCTGCGGTCGGAGTTGGCTGCAATTGTACGTTGACTGCAGTCGGCGTTGGCTGTGGTTAGGGTCAGCATTGACTGCAGTGGTTAGGGATGGCGTTTGCTGTGGTTGGGATAGGTGTTGGCAGGTGTTAGGGTCAGCGTTGGCTGTGGTTAGAGTCAGTGTTTGCTGTTGGCTGTCCCCTACACCGACAACTGTTGCCCTGTGTCTGAATCCTGCATGGCTGTCAAGTACACACATGCCACTGTGCTTGGTGGCTTGGTTAGTGACAATAGTTCAATTAATTACTATTATGATGACGTGTCCAGAGCGATAATCTCAAAATCGGTTAAGATGCTTTCGCCATTGTTTCAGAATTTAAAAATTTAGGAACCACGACAGATGATCAACTTAAATAAAATTCCAACACGATTAGGCTATATAAAAATGCCAAAAATGTCTACATGATTCGTCAATCAAGTAAATTTATAATTGATACAAACATTCTCGAAAATGTAATGTAACGAAGATATCTAGTATGATTTATTTTTGTTTTTTGAAAGTTTTAGCACTAAAAACAAAATCTAGTTGAAAATTGAAGAAATATTAAACGTAGAGTGCTAGCAAGATTTCAACATTAAATTTATTTCTACATAAGAAACATGGATTCACGCGGATTCTGTTTCAACCTACTCAACCCGGGAAGTTGAATATAACTTCCCTCATTCCTTCGCATTAGATCGCATTCCACCCGAACTAGCTGATAATAAATCATTCCAACATCCATCAAATTATTTAATAACCAGGTCTCTAAATAACCCTTTCGTCATTATAACTGATAGTTTAATTAAGTTTATGAATTTACATTTTTTATTTAATGTATTTTTTTATTTTAATAATTACCACTTCGTAATCCTTAAGTTGCTTGTAAATTAGTTATTGTATGTAATTCGAGTTCTTTGCTGTTTATTTAAACTACTTTATTTGTTCCTTCATTTTTTAATATTTTAAGTAACAATCTTTATTTCTATGCAAAAATGATTAAAATAATAAAAAAATAAATATTGTATATAATAGGGAGTTTTCGCAAGCTAAGGAAGGCGATAACGAATACTTTATCATTAAATTATTAGACAACCCTTCCCTTGCAGTAGCATTGTCACAACGAAGACGATTCATGCTTTTTGCATGAATGAAATATCATACTCAGATTGTACAGCATTTCTCAATGATGATAATGACGTATTCGTTATCGTTTTCGTAAGGTTGAAAAAATCTTCCTATTTCTTTTAAAATGTCCTTAATTTTATTTGATATTTTCATAATACTAGAGAATTTTTAATTAATATTTATCACGTTTGTAAATTATTCTATGTTATGTACAAAAAATATCTCAGAATTCATTTTTTGACAATAAAATTGACTTGTATCTAATAGACTTGTATAGAGTTATTATTCCTGTGTTGTTTTGATTTTTGTTTTTAGAACCTGTTTTTTTTACAGTAACATATGGTATCACTCTGTGGGCTATAGTGGAAAATAAAAACTGAATCGTATATATGTTTAACAAAAATGTCAATATTTTCGATATACTTACAAAAAAAAAATTTGCTCTCCTTATTTCTCAATTTAAGTTTAATCAATCGCCTCTTTAGATCATACTTCAAGAATTTTATTTCAGTCCACTACAATACTAGAAATAAAAGCAACTATGTTTATGAGCGTTTAAATACTGAAACTGATCGAAGTGATGTCTCATTTCAAAGTTTAAAATGAATTACCAGATCGTTTCAACTTTAATTTCTTTTCTCTTCCTAAGACAATGTCCATATCAAAACAAATTCAAAGCAAATGAGATTGAAATAGAGAAAAAATATGTATACACAGAGATATTTTTCTCAGCCTTACATAAACTCGCAGATGCAAAAAAAAAATAAATAAATAAATAAAATAAAATATGCATGCCTCTTTCAAAGGTTTCAATAATAATAATCATTTTAATAGCATTTTTGAATTTTCAATTAGATGATTAACAGTGGATTTATCAGACTTTTCCTATAAAGAAAGTCGGCACATTTAAATCCATGTACTGATTTTCTAACATATTCATAAAATGATGAGGCACCACAAGAAACAAACATTTTCTGTGGCACTACACGGCCTTAATATAGAATCGTCTTCTGAGAGTATTTGCGAGTATACATAGAGACCTATATTTTTGTTATATATCTTAATCATCATTCAGGTCAGTTGCCTAAATACGTAAACGACGTATTACAATTAAAACGTTTGCACATAGGGTTGTAACAGGATCACCCTGGAGGTTTCCATTTGGACAGAAATACGAACACAGCTAGATAAAATATCATGAGTAGAAGCATGATCTTCGCACACATTTAAGTAGCATTTGAAGCAACAACAACAACAACAGCAACAACATCAACAACAACAGCAACAACAACAATAATAGTAATATTCATAATAATAATAATAATAATAATAATAATAATAATAATAATAATAATAATAATAATAATAATAATAATAATAATAATGACAACAATTACGATGGCGATGATGATGATGATAATGAACATGAAGCGTTATGAAATGATAAACATTTACATAATTGTATAATGTAAATTTTAAATACGACGACGGTGATATTTTATTCATAATCGTCAGATTAGTATACCTACTAGACTAGACTATGAATATTATCAATTATATTGCAATTTTGGATTCTGTAAACTTTATTCTGTTGCTAAAAACTGTGAAATCTCATGAAAACAACCTTAAAAGTCTTGGCATCCGTGGCAAGGCTTCGAGTCCATAGTCCTGCTTGCAGCATAGTTTAGCCTCATCACTCGTGGTGCTGAATTAGAAAATTCGAACTCTTTGAAATACGAATTTTTGTCAATTTTACGAAAAGTTTCGCAATGTACGTAATTCTTAATCGTAAGATATTTTTGGGTATTACAGTAAAAATACCTAGATTTTTGCAATATTTATCTTAGCACGATAGATACCTTCTCAAGTGAGATTACTCAACTAATCAGTGTGCTCATTGTTTCAGTGTGCTCATTGTTTCAGTGAGATATCACACATTTATACATAGCAATCCAGTCGGGACAGATCATCCTTAGGAATCCAGTTGGGGAAGAAAAGTAGCTATCTGTCTTTTTTAAGTCAAATGATGGTGTACCCCCTCTAGTGTTCATAACTTTATTATTTTTTTTTTTAAACCGAGGCTCAACTTTAATTTCATAACAAAAGAGTATTTTGACTTCAAAATGTAATAACAAAATGAAAATATATGTTAAAGAGCCGGAGTTGTTTCAACCTAGGCGATGCATCTCCGTCAAGGGGGATTTTTTATGAGTAGAATTACCTGATCGAGACATAAGTTTTTTTAATCTTTAAAACATATTTGCAAAGACAGCCTACTTCTCTCATTAAACCAGTACTATGGTCTGAGGGTACCATGCACTATAAAATGCTACTGCAATTCTTTGAACTGCAGTTGGTTGTAGAAAAGAGAGTTATAAACTTTGCAAAAACTTCAAAATTCGGCTGCTATACTAATTTCTTCGCACTCATACCTCTCTCCTTTTTGCGAACTTCAATGGTTGCCTGTTCAAGAAAGAATTCAATTTAAAATTTTCTCTTTGTCAACTCAATTTCTGTTTTCTGCCCTTTGTTATTTCTGATTACTTAATAATATGTCCCCATGTGTGCATGACAATTATCTTCCGACTCCATTCAACTTGTTTGACCGGTCTACCCAAAAACGGATTAGTGACAATTCATTTTCTTCAGTTGCTGCCCGACTTTGGAAATGAATGTCTTGGGATTAGCTTAGGCCGTTCAAAGCCCATCAAAAAACACACCTATTTCAATAGTTTTTCTCTCACCTTTCTTAAGACCTTATTTGTTTATTGTTTTGTTCGTTTTCTTACTTTTTTGTCGAAACTTTTTGCTTAGAGTTCTTATGTGCATGAATTAACTTCGGGCTGATGGAAATTTTATCAAGTAAAGAAAGATTAATGATGTCTTGTAATGGATTTAGAATATAATATCTCATTATATATGTGATATATATAATGAGATATTATATTCTAATATAATATCTCATTATATATATCTCATTATATATGTGATATAAGTTATGAATTAATGTTAGACAAAACGAAAAGCATTTTACAAAATACAAGGTTTCCATTTCTGAGCATCTGCATTTTCCTCTTATCAGCCTCAATCACTGTGGAACTGAGGTGGCTGTTGACTCTCACGTCATTCCTACATTAGGATTGCTGTGGAACCGAGTTATTCAGAGTTGATGAATGAACCCTAGTCTGAAAATGTTGAAAAGGTTGAGTACCATAGGCATATAGGACATTTTTAGGAATATTTTGGAAATCGTTGGGTATGTATGATTGAGTTTATGTCTCCGGTATGGTGTCTATGTATGGTTGTTTGTGTCGATATATGTGTCATATAAGAAATGTCGTAGGTCTATTTCGACTACGATATTTGACTGTTAGAACTTGTGGTTATCTTTGCTTGTAATTGACTGATTTATGGGAGAATTTCAGTCTTCGCTAGCTAGGTTGTGAGAATGTTGTTTTTGAATTTGTGTTCATCGCGGTTAAATGATTCTTAAAAGTACAGTATTCAGACTCGTATCAAATGTCTGACAGCAATAAATCCATGGTTACTAGGTATATCATCCCCTTCCGTGATTGGCTGATTTCTATCAAGGTGTAAAAAAGCATTCATCAAGTTTTCTCTGGCCTGTTTAAATTGAACCTATTTTTGGTTTTCCCCACATAATGGGAATCAATGAACTATTATAGTTATATGGATAGAAAGATCAATATCTGACAACAAAATATAATGAATACTGTATGTTTGTAGGCTTAGAGGATTATGGTGGTAATATTTAGACAGATACTTGTTTCTAAACTACTAGTAAATTCTTCTCCGTCCATGATTGGCTGATTTCGGTCAAGATGTATAAAAGCATTCATCAAGTTTTCTCTGGCCTGCTTGAATTGAGAATATTTTGGGTTTTTCCCACTTAATGGCAACCAAATAAATATTAGTATTATATGAATAGAAATATCAATATCTAACAACAAAATAATGAATACCGTAATGGTTGTATGTTTATATGCTTAGAGGATATTATGGTGTTAATATTTTATACAGATACTTGTTTCTAAACTACCAGTAAATTCTTCCATTTTGCTGAAGAATAT